ATCCTAATTAAATTTTCTCGACTGCATTCAAATTAATTTCTAACAAAGCAATTAGTAATTATAATGAGCTCAATTAATACCAAACCATGCGTTTATTTAACTGGCGACCGTCCACCCTTTTCCTTATTTAAATGAGCTATGGGCATTTATTTTTTAAATTTTAAAAATGGCCTCCCCACTGAATTTTTTTATTCTGAAACACTTAAAATTTAACATAGGCAAGTTTTTGTTTGTTATTCTTTTAAAAAGCTTGATTTTTCTACGACAAATCAATTTTAAATTTCTACCTAAAAATACTGATATAAAAAGAAGTGTACATTAGTAGATTAATTTGTATTATTTTAGTTGTGAGCGTGAAACAAATATTAAATTCATAAAACATAAGTTAACCTTAATACTTACTTTAATTTTATTTTAATATCGCATGTCATACATTAGAGGATTGTATTGCGATCTCACAATTATTAAATCATTAAAGCAGAAATTACATAAATACCACATCAGGAAGTCTTTATTTATTAATAATGAAATTATTCTAATGAAAAAATCCGTTTTTATCCAACATGGTGTAAAAATAAAATAATGGCCTTATAAAATTGCCATCCAATATGTAAGTACTCAGTGTGCTGTGCATCTTGGATCATTTAATGGTCACTTATCACACTACCTTAGTATACCTACTAAGACTTATTTTGCCATTAACATTTTTTTAATTCAAAACAAAAGTAATCACAATTCCTGAAATCAAATCTCACAGTGATACAATTTGTAAATCTAGTAGTTTTTTTAAGTATTAAAAATATGTTTAGAATTAACATTTATTCCTTTTTCCTACAAAAAATGTTATTTAGTTTTTTTCTTTAAAGTCAACCGTAAGTTAGTTAACCGCAAAAAATCATCATAGGACTTTTAAAGCCTGATTTATAGATTGCCTTCCTTCCTCTCGTAAAAGATAAACAATGCAAAAATCGTAGTGCCATTTATAGATTCCCGTACGGAAACAGCACAACGGTTTTTGTATTGTTCATCTTCTACGGAAGGAAGGAAGGAAGGGAGGAAGAAAGGAAGGAAGGAAGGAAGAAAGGCAATCTATAAATCAGGCCTAAGGCTCCTTAAATCAAAGATATATTATGTCACATTTATTTAAGCAAAAAATACATGCTTTTTGTACGAAAAAAATCCATAAATTTACTACTTAAGTAGTCAAATAGATGGAGCTTTGTTCATAATTTAAATGAATTTCTGAATCACTGTGCGCCTGACGTAGTTTGAATATTAAATTCTAATAAATTTCACACAAGCCAACCTGAAAAAATGGGTATCAATTTTCGAAAATTGTTTTTGTTTGTTCATCTGTAATTGTACGTCTGTCCGTGGAAGGAAAGCAAGAAAGAAAGAGAGGTGCAGATGTAAGAAATGTGCAGTACGTGATTGCAGGGATCGAGTTTTGATTGGCTAACTGGGCCTAATGACCGGTTCTATGTGGCCACACTATACATTAGGCTAATCGAGCCTAAGTACTGCGTTTATCTAGCTCTTCGCTACATCCAGCACGAAATTAAAAAAACATTTTGCTCTCCACAAATTACTATATAGCATTTCGAGTAATGGCTCACAACTTGTTTTTTCTTATTGTTATTAAGGTGGGAAACATGGCGCCCATTCACCACACTAAATCCATACGAATTATCCTCATTATTTCCACTGATTTTTTTTATTAGTAGTGAGTTAATATTTCAAATTATAGGTCACAGACGCAGTCATAAAAATTCTTCGAGAATGATGTTGGGACAACTCGGCTAATGTTCTTTCGATTTGATTGCTCGCCCATTAAAAGGGGATGATTGAATTTCTCGAATTATTATTCCAACTAAATTCGAAATGATAGGGTACCCACCTTACGATCTCGTACCCAACAATACATTAAATATTGTATGCATCTAATAGTTCTAAAACTATAGTATAGCAAAATATCACAATGTTTATCACAAAAACTGACCGTTTTTGTTGGATTGTAATTTGAACACATAATGTTCACATAAAGTTATTTAGTGGGATGTTTTACTTTAGGAAATTTATTTAATGGTTTACAACGGACATAAAATGTTTTATGGGCTCTATAATGAAGGGGCGTATTCTTGATGAACCCCATCATTGATTAATATTAGCTTCAATTACACTAAATTATAACCATGCTGCAGTTTTGCTCGCTTAGGTATAGTAACAACGAAAAACAGTCCGTTAGATAATTTAAAAAAATACTACGAAACCATCAAAATGAGTAAGTGTGTAAGCAAAGTAATAAAAATAGTTGGGATTGATTTAAATTAGTGGCGGTTACTATTTTTTAAGAACCTTTTTCAATCCTAATTTAAAACTGAGAGTAGGACTGACTGATTAGTCGATAACGACGTGTTTAGTACTCATGCTAAGTGTAAGAGAGATAAGTCCTAATTGGTGGTTCAGCTCAAATGACAACCTTTATTTTACCGCGCGGATAGCTATGCAACCAAAACATTAAAATATATAATATCGATATAAAAAGATAACTATGCCAAAAATAATAACAGATTCTAAAGTAAAAGAACTTCATTTCGATGAAGTTATGCCAAATGCCTCAATATCAGAAAAAGTACATCGCCTTATGGACATTTTTGGGGTAAAAAAGTAGCGTTTTTGGTTTTACAAATATATTTGCTTTTAGTCCAACCTTTTTGTGAAAAATCTAGTAGTGAATTTTCCTGTCTTTGAAAGTAGTAGCATCCATTTGGTTTAAAAAAGATAAGCAATAATCACGAAACATTTTCTTCTTTTAATTTGCAAGTTACTGATCATTAATAGTCCTGGACAATATATACATTATAATTATTACTAAGCCACTAGAAGTATTAACGTCCAGTGCACCATGGCTTTAACAAAATACCCATTCACCATTGAGTCCAATGATTGGACAACATTCACGTGTGTTCACATAAAATTTTAATATATAAATCTTATATAAATTCTTTTCAAAGCGAAGATTATTATCCGCTAGGAATACTTTGACTCTCCTAGCCGTAGTCTTCTATATTTAACTACTTTTTATATGATTTTACCTACAATAATTTAAATATAACCACAATTACATTATAATTACATTTATAACTAGTTTAGTTTGTTTTAATAATTCTTCTTATATTTTTATTTTTATAATTGAAATGTTAAAATGTTTGTCCGGGCTAATCTCCGAAACGTCTGGATTCATACACTAAATATTTTCTTATACAGTGTTGCCATGGCTTCTAAAAACAAATTTCAAACTGACAAAATAATATTTTACAAGAAAACAGCAAGACAATAACATTATTATATTTGATCCATTAAATTAAACATTTTTTAACAAATATTGATATAACGAACCGTAATTTTAGGATTGTATGAAAAATATCGTTTATCAAAATAATTATTTTTATACTTAAGTAAGAACACTTTTAAGTTGTCACTTTACAAAATATTGAGCAAATATTTATTTATGATGTTTTTAACTTTTAACAATCTTGGCAATTTTGTATTATTCATGTGTTGGCACAGGGGGTGAAATAAATTGATGAGCGATCTATACCGCGTGTTGGCCATTGAAAAGAAGTAAAATACGGGCGGTCGAGAGAAGAAAAGAAATGAAGAAGGGACAGAGGGAAGATTGGGCACGCGCCGAGATATGTTCAGATGATATCAATCGGATTTTTTCGAGGTGACCACCGATTTAAAACTGTCGCAGCGGCGCGTCGAACCGGTTCTTTCGTCGGAAAAAACTACTCAAAATAACATTCGTGTGTGTCATTTTTACAATCTGGACAAAGGAATAAAACAGCTGATTTATCGGTTACATTAACATAAAATAAAAATCTCTCCTTCTCGATTTTTCGAGACGGGACATAATCGGTTGTTTACATTATTTAGAATTCGGTTTTATGCTTTTAACTTTTATTGCTTTATTTTCTTACTGATAATTTCATAATTCCCGATCCATTTCGCTCTCCTTTTATCAACTGCTCACTAAGTACTACCTACCCATAACAACCATCTTCTACTTGGGTTTTATTATTTCGGAATTTTAATTTTAATTTGTCAAAACATAATTAATTACAATACATTAATTTGGTTTTATAGTTCTTAATCTCAATAATTTATCTAAATTTATTGTTTTAACAATTAGAATAACATTAAAATTACAATTCATAAAGTTAACAAATGTGGACGAGCACACCCACACAAAATTTTCGAAATTAATGTTGTTTATTTAGTAAATTAACATAGGTATTATGTTTACGGTTATAAAGGCCAATAAATTCTCATCCTATTTAAAGCTGTAGGTACATAATTTAATAATTCCAAGTAGGAAAAAAAACCTTTTTCAATTAGTTCTTCCTACGAGCTAAGGAACAATAAATTTCGGAACTTTCTATTCGGGAAATTCTTAATTGAGTCGTTTAAAATCAAATAGAGACGTACTATACACATAAAGACTAAATTTGCATAGCATAGCATATAGCATAGCAGGAAGGATGGAAGTTGCGTGCCACTATTAATAAAAGAAAATAAATCTAATTCCAGGAAAACAAAGAAAACATTTCTGAAGCCGCTCAAAATGTAAGTATCTCCAACGAGGAAAACCTAATAAAATTAGCAATACCCAGTTTACGAATTCGAAATTTTAACTGGCATGCAACACGCTATACCCACTAGCTAACCACTGTTTATTGATTCGAAAAGTTTGCAACTTTGTTCGCAAACTCCAAATACTGATTTTTATACTTATAATTTATATTTATAATTAATTATTTAACCTATTTTATATATTTAGGCTGATGGCAACACTGTAAGCTTGGCAGCCACGCTTAAAATTAATCAACATGCATGCCTGGCAAATTAATAATAAGTAAACAAACGAACAACGAGGCGATAAATCAACGGGAAGAAGAAGAAGAAGAAGAAGAAGAAGAGGAGAGTAAAAAAGTGGTCTAATTGTTTAAAAAGTTGAGGGGGCGCATTTTAATAAAACGTAAGATGGCCGTGGCGGCCGTGGCGGCGGCTCCGTCTTTTGTTTTGCCGAGCGACCAATCGTGTGCTAATTGGCGCGCGGCCCGAGGCGCAATTGTTATTTCTCTCTCTGCTTCTTCCACCCCTTGATTGGAATTTATTGCCGGCGTTTCGAAATTTAATGTCCAGACTCGAATTAATTTTATTACTTGCGCGATCTTTGCCATCGACAGACCCCTTCCTTCTCTCGACTGCCCACGGTCCTTTTCTCCTGCTTAAGCAAGCCCTTGCTTGCTAATTGGGTTTGCGCTTTACAAAGTGCCGACACGATTTTTATTAAATTCTAATTAAAAATGATAAATACAAAGTGTATATTTTTGCATTTTCAGATTTTATTTTCATTAAATATTTTTTATTCAAATTAAACCTTCCTCTAACATTTTAGGTCCCTTCTGTCCCGTTTGTATAGTCCAATTTGGACAAATCATAGCAACCCTGAATGTACTATACCATGGAGAAATATTTTACTAGGTATACTAATTAAGACGAAATTAACAATAAATTTTGAAACATAACCTTAATTACTCGACTGCATTCCTTATTTAAATGTCAGTGGGATATTTTATGTTTTAACAAATTTTTATGATTTTATAATATAAAAATTCAGTCATTAACAAATAAACTCAGTTTTATTAATAATGTAATAAAAATTAAATGATAAATAAACGTAATTTTAATTTTACTAACTACCACAATATGGTAATAATAAAACTAAGTTTTGTAAATTCACTACACGATTCATTACAACTCAATTTGGAAAAATTACAAACGTTTGCATTTTCACAATATTACAATACAAATATTGTTATTTTGTACAAATTACACTAAAAATATTTAGTAATTTAAGAATGATGGTATTGTTATTATACTACGAAAAAAAACCTGCAATTTTCTTAGTTTCTTCAAGAAACTTTCTTGACCCATTACTGCAAAGATTAAAAAAAAATTGAACCTTCACCTCGCCAGAGTTTTTGTTTTAATTTCGTGTATTGAACACACCAAAAACGAATGACACCTAAGCTTATATTCCGTCCACCTAAGTCAACCGAGGCGAGATGTAAGAAAATCACGTGATTACCGCAATCGGTACATAACATTATAGCAAATCAAATTACAAACAACTTTTGTAAATCTGAGATGCTTTTTATTATAAACTGTCAAACTTTTTAGTAAAATTACAATGCGTGTAGGATTTATACATATAGATTGTAAAATTACAACTTATCTTAGTAGATTACCCAATATGTCTTGGAAGATTACTCAAATTGTATTATGGTATACACTGATTTGTAATTTTACTCATCCTTTGTTTTGCATAATAATTGTAATTTTACAAAAAAAATTTAACAGTGAAATTAATTAATATAATATTTATTCATCGATTTATATTTTAACTGATATTTAGAAATGAATTCCCTATTGTAAAAATTTTGTTTGAATTTTTAAAAATTTATGTTTAACAACCTATATGTATAACTAGGTACTATCATGGGGTCCCTACTTACCCCAATGAAAAAAGCTGTTTAAAAACTATAAATCTTAATTTTTTCTGAGGTAAGGCTAAAAAAATATACTTAAATGCAATTAATGACACTTTTATTAAAAAAACAAAACATACGTAGACCATTTTCAACTTGGAATTCAACATTTTATTTTCTCCTTTTGGACATTTTAAACATTTTTGATTTGTTGCTATAAATTAATAAAAATGAATTAATTAATTAAAATTTTATGTTTTACACTTTTTTAAATGAACTGATGATTTTAGAAATAAAAAAAGTTTTTAAGAAATTGGAACCTAATTAAAAAACAATACTAATTTCAATCAAATATGTTCTTTTGTTCAGAAAACAATAATTTTTTTCAAAAAAATATATATTATGATTTTAACGTTTATCATTGATTCTCAAATTATTAAAGGTTCCTTTTGGACATTCCTGTATATTGATTTTGTTATAATTCATCACATTTTAAAACAATTGCTGTTTAATTTGTTGGAAAAGTTCATGATGATAAGGCACATTTTTTACCAACCAACTATTTACTGAAAATCAGTCGCTACGATAGCTTGTTACCAAGCAACTCAAATTTACAGCTAAGATAATTGATTTTTTTACTCCGACAATCCAATGAACTAAATCAATTGTTTTTGTTTTCCGTAATTGTTAATTGGGTTTTTGTTATATCGGAGCATCATTCCAAACCACTTTGTATAACTAGGTATCCAGTTCATTGTTTACACTAGTAGTTAGCTAAATAATTATTATTTAAAATTTGCCACAATTTTAGGCATTAAATAGTACCAACACAACCAAAGTCTAAATAAAAAACGAATTATACGAATTTATGACAAAAACTCTTTGTGATAGACAGTGGAAATTGTAGTTTAATATTAAATAATTTTTTTATCAAGATTTACAGGAAGCAGCCATGGTCTGTTGGTCTTTTACTTAATAATAAAAAATGTCCTTTGCTTTTCATGCTTCAAAAATCATTTTTGAAGATTGTCATCTTTACAAAACATTAGATTTATTAAATTTGTTCTAAACTACCTACGTAGTTTTAAAACACAAAAATGTTAAAATTGTTTCAAGATTATTTTTTTAATTTGTTAGCATAAAAATAATTTTAATAAGCCTGAATAATTAGGTTAATTATGAATTCATTATGATTGTTATTGATGATGGATTCTACACTACATTTTAATTTTAAACATATGCAATTATGTAAGTTGTAAAACTAGAAATTTACAGAATGCAATTTAAATTGTTTAATACATTTTTTGTCAAACATATTTTGTCGATAAACTATCACTTAAAATGTTACGAAAATTATTTTAATTATAAAAGTATTTATTTAGTAATTTAAGGTATAATTTTACTTTTTTACCTATAGTTATTAAGTGAAATGCCAAATTATTTATTATTTAACACAACATTTTTAATTTGGTTATTAATATGTAAGTAAAAAATTGAAAGCGGTAAAGTTTGCGTATAATTAAGTAAATTACGTTAAATTAAGTTCTTTTAAGAGAGCAAACTCCAATTAAAGAACATAATCAAAAAATTCTTTGCTTATGATACTTGAACATTTTTTTCAGGGAATCAGCTGTTGAAGATGTTTGGGCAATTAGCCAAACTCATGCCTGTCATTAAAATAATTGGCCGGGAATTTGAAATTCGTCGACGCGTTTTTGTAATTACCAAATTGAGCGATTTCACGTAAAATCACCAAGTCACCCGCTGCTCTATCGAACGAGTAGCAGCTTTCACCAAATATTTTTATTTGTATCATACTGTACACTAAAAACAATGTTATTGTTATTTCCCAAATTATTATTTTTTTACCTGAGTATCATCTAAATTAATTATTATTAGCTTAAATGAAGAGCAAGCGATTTCTTGGTACAAGAACCAAAAATATTTCTTCAGAAGATATTTCTCTTTTGAATGAAGAAAACGTTTTTTAGCTCAAAAAAATGGGATTTTAACAAGAAAACTGCATCTCTTAATTGAAGCTTAGGAACTTTCTAAGAAAGAAAGTTTGTCTTGCTACTATACTTCTTTCACTAAGAACTTTTTTCTTCAAGCAATAAATACTCTTTTATGCTAAAATATTGTTTCTTGCCGCTAATAATTTTTTATCAAGAGAGTTGATCTTTTATATATTTTTTTAAATTAAAATATAATATAAAGCAAATTTTTCTTAAAGTGTTTTTGATGATATAATATAAGCATTATATTGTAGTGTTACTTTTTAAGGTTTAGTCTAAAAAAGGTAGCATGTGTTGGGCAGTGTGGCCTCACCTTTAAGAATGTTGCGTTTTCCACAAGCGCCAACTAACAAGCTGTTTTATTTTTTATGGCTCAGGTCGTATGGTTTTTATTTTACAACATAGTGATGATTACATTAATTGGCCGTATGAAGTTATTATGAGCCGATTAACATTAATTAGGTCTTTGTTGGAAAAATGTTCGGTCGGTTTTATGATTAAACGAACGGTTTTATAGAGCGCTGGCTCTCAAACTCGAACATCATCAATTCCGACTTGCGTACACTGTTAAAAATGTTTGTAAAATTACTACATTTTTGCCAACCAGTTGCATAGTAAAATTACAAGATATTGCATTGTATTGCAATTTTAATACGCGTTTGTTGTAATAGTACATTTTGTTATAGCCAAAGTACTTCCAATTTTACAATGTTTTTGTTTTGCCAGATACATAGTAATTTTACAATTCTGTGTTGTAGAATTGAATTTAAAATTTTGTAAAATTTCTATACATATTAGGAATTGAGTCAAACCACGTCAAGTGGGACCAGAAAATATCACGAAATCACCGATTTTAAAAATAATCACATTATTGTGTAGTAGGCATGACTCATATGTCACAGTAAAAAAATTGTTTTAAAATTCGTTTTTTTGGTAATGTTATTAAGGTTGACAATTTTGTCAAACTTTAGAGCACGTTAAAATTCAAAAAATAGAATCTCTGGAACCACTATGTATAATTGAATTAAATTTTACACACTATTGTAGAAATGTTTAGACTATATAATGATCATTTAATTAAGGTTAATTTGTTTAAATAAAATAATTTTGCATACATTTATTATAAACAATTGAAATTTTGTATGTGTTCTTCACGCTGAAAAAAAATTAATCTTGTGTCATAATATGCGGCAAAAGTTCCTGTTTAATAAAATGTACTCAAAAATTTGTCCTTCATATGTCATTCCGGAGATATTAAATTTTTGTCCCGCTGTGCGCTTGATCAGTACGCGGCGCGCTTCGCTGCTAGCTCAGTAAAATATATTTTGTAATTTTTTAGCAAAATTACAATACCTGTATAGTAATGTTACTGAAAAAATTTTTAATAAATGCTTAGTGAATTTTAACAAACGTTTTATAATTTTCCCAAATTGACTTGTAAAGAATTATATAGTGAATTTACAAAACTTAGTTTTATTATTACCATATTTTGGTGCCTAAAAACTTCCTAAACATGTTAAGTAGGTAAAATTAAAATAGAAATTTTTTGTAGATAACTTTTATTATGTTTAACTAATGCCTTTTAATTGTTTTATTATTGCATGTTTGGGTGTTTCTCAGCCTATCCTCAAGATTGAAAATCTCGTAATTTGAAACCACTAATTAATAGTGCATTTAATTAGTCGAACAAAGCGGCTAAAAATGTTTACGAGCTGACGTAC